ATGCTTATATTAATATTAATAAATCAATCAATGATCGAGCAATTAAAATTCGATTTTTAGTTTATTCTTTGATCGAACAATGCAATTGATTAAGAAATCGATCACATGTAATCAATCAAATAAATCGATTTTTAATTGATCAAGTGAGTAAGAGATTGACCAAATCATCGATTATGATTTTTTTTATCAATTAAATGCCTTATTCATAACAAATTTTAAGCACTTTGGTTAAAGTCAATCACCCTTTTATTTCTAAGTAAAAATTATTCAGCAGGTTCAATACTATTTACATTTAATGTTTTAACTTGATGGGATTAATATTCGTGTAGAAATAATTTTTTTTGTAACTTTACTAAATAAGTCACATTTTTTTGACTTCACAAGGAAATTTGAGCACTTTTGTCAAAGTAAATCACTTTTTCATTTCTAAGTAAAAGTTGCTCAACAGGTTTGATACTATTTGTATATAAAATTTAATCTCAATTGGATTTATTCATGTTGTAATATGTGTTTTTGTAACTTTATTAATATTGCAGACCTTTTTTTTAACTTCACAGGATAATTTGAGCAATTTGATCAAAGTCAATCGCCTTTCATTTCTAAGCGAAAGTTATTTAGCAGGTTCGATACTATTTACACCTAATCCTATATTAATAGAATTAATATTCGTATAGAAATAATTTTTTTTTGTAACTTTACTAAATAAATCACACTTTTTTAACTTCACAGAATAATTTGAGCACTTTGGTCAAAGTCAATCACCTTTTATCTCTAAGTGAAATTTGTTCAACAGATTCAATACTATTTATATCTAATGTTTTATATTGACTGGATTAATATATTTGTGTAGAAATAATTTTTTTTTGTAACTTTACTAAATAAGTTATACTTATTTAACTTCACAAGGATATTTGAACACTTTGGTCAAAGTCAATCGCTTTTCATTTTTAAGTGAAAGTTGTTCAGAAGATGTGATACTATTTGCATATAAAATTTTATCTCGATTGGATTAATATTCGTGTTTTAATATGTGTTTTTGTAACTTTATTAATATCGCGAACCTTTTTTTTAACTTCACAAGATAATTTTATCACTTTGGTTAAAGTAAATCGCTTACTGCGCATTAAATAAAAATGTTATATATATCCGAATCAATATACATATAAATTTTCGTCTCACGTGATATAATATTCGTTAAGTAATAGCTTTTCGTAACTGTATTAATTCTCAAATTTTTTTTTTTTTGAATTTTATATTTGTGTAATTTATTAAATACTATATCAATATAATGTATATCGCGAAATTACCACACTTTATAAAAAAAAAAAGTATCAAATAAAAGTATTTTAAAAGTTATTATTTTGTTTTTAATATAATTAATTTTCTTTAAATCAATTTAAAAAAATTTTTTTTATTGTTTTTTATTGTATTTTTAAGATATTACAATTACAGTTTTTCATGTAAAATTTTATTCTTTTTTAAATGTGCTTTTTAATTATAATAATTAATAATAAATTTAAAAATTTTTATTAAGAGTAAAGTTCACTTTGAATTTTATAAAATGTGTGCAAAAAAATACTTGACTCTTTTATTGTAATTTTTGCTTTATGCTTTTAGTTGTTTACGCGTTCTTGTAAATGTTCCAATTATGTGAACTGTTTATATTATACCTGTCATCTAAAAATAGCTTTTTTTCTATTTTATTTTATTTTTATTTTTTATTTTTTATTTTTTAAAAAAAAACTCTTTCCGCAACATGGGCAGACTAAAGAAAAAGAACAATAAAAACTAATAAAAATAACAATCTCACTTTCACTCTGGCACTCTAGAGCAATAACCAAGTAAAAGACAGAATACTTTACAAACTACTGAACCTGAAAGTAGTGTTTTCACCAACAACAATAACAAAGAAACTCCAGTTATTATGGGAGTAGACCCTCTTTCGCTCGATAAAAGAAAGGGTAAAGAAGTTTCTATAAGTAAAATAACCTTAATTATCACTTCTGACCAAGCTCTTATAAACGTCGATGATGTTAATAATGCCTCAAAAAATTTTCTGAATAATAAGAAAAATCCTCAAGAAATTTTCATTAAAAAATGAATTTCTTCACATTTTTTTCTGACAGATGAATACCTTAGAAAATTCACTCAAACAAAAATCTCTGATATCACTAATCTCATTTTTGATCAGTTTGATTCATTTTCAGGTGTTATGCTTACCAAATACTCAGAAAACCAATCAAAGAAGATTTTAAAAGTGATATTTTCTGATATTTTCTGATAAGGATGAAAGGAACACGTTCTGTAAAGTTATCTTGTCTAATTTGAAAAATTGCACGTTTTATCCTTCAAAATCATGCCAAAACATTCATTCTTTCTACAACAATCAATCAAAGTTACTGAAATCCCATTGGATACTACAGAATTGCGTATCAAAAGATCTTCTCTTATTTTAGTAAGATCGTTAGATTTAGCATGAAAACAAAAAACCTCTGATAATAAGCTACGATTACATATGATTCAGATGCTAATTTCATTAAACTTAAGAAAAGTCACAGTGTCTTTCTCCTTAATGATATAGTTCATTTCTACATGTGTATTCTGCTACGTAATAAAATCTTAGAACAATCTAAATACTTAGCCAAACTCACATATCTTTCTCGTTATGTGTTATCTACTCCTTATCATATCACAAAATCAAAGATTGTCCAAAAAAATGTCACACTCCTCAAGATATAAGTATTCAACATTTATATCAATGATTTTAACTAGCATAATATAATAACTATAAAGTTCCAATTCATCCTCGTAAAGAAGCTATTAGCCCTAATATCACTTTTGCTAATATCGTTATAGACAGTTCACAGAAACCAATCAAATTATCTAGTAAACTTGCAAATTTACATTCTATACTAAAGAATAATAATAATAATCTCCTAAAATAACCCCTATCATATCACCAGATTGGAGTGACGATATTCCCTGAATATAGAGTAATAATACAATCATCATTATCAGGAACAATACAGATTATATGATATCTCTACAGGAATAAAAGCAGAAAGCTCTATGCACGAACAAATAATAAAAATAATTTTAAAGACTTTATCAAAGTAGTTTTCTGCAACTTACCCAAAAACTTTATGATCTCATGCTTACTTTGAGCTCTACTATGAAATGAATATAGATAATTGAGTAAATACTCAATATTAAGGTCAGTTTTCCTGATGAAGAAACAATAGCTGATTATGATGTAGAATAATATGGAAATGATCTAGTTGTTCATGCTTCAACATCAATTATTAGTAAACAAAGATAAACTATTGCAGCTCTCACAGAGATTACAAACACTCAAAACTTACATCTTAAGAATTTTACTAAAACTGTCAATACCTTAGTCAACACTTGCAACACATTCTATGCAGTTCTCATTCATAATGACTTATTTCAAATTAACAAAACGTCAACTATGTATACCCTCAACAACAATTATAATATAGAAGCAGAAAAGACTCTAGTGGGATAACACGCTTAAACTTAATTAAGTTTAAGCGTGTTATCCCACTTAGACTAGGTTATAGTACCACGTTATAATCT